TGTACCTTTTGTGAACAGATGCAGTACCCACTCCAATGGTCCTCATCTCCTCTTGGCATGTTACGTCCACTTATGTTTACTGTAATTAGCAACATGTTTGGAACTTTGTGCTTTCTATTTGGTCCACCCTTTTCATGTTTCTTTTTTCTCTTCTCTTGCCTTTTTCCTTTTGATTACATTTTCTTGTTCCACTTTTTTCTCTCCACTAGTTTGAAAGTTAAACTCCATTTCTCTTGTCCTGATAATTATTTTATTATGAATTAGCTGATCAGTCTGTAAAGGTAAGTAACACAAGACCCGCTAAACTCTTCAACTCAAGTCCCCCCTCTAAATGCATATGCTACTGTGATGAGGAACTTCTCTTCTTTTGTTCTTATAATATATCATTATTATTGATTATACCATCAGTGTTTGCTTTGATTTACCATATAGTCACCACCTTCTTGTTCTCCATTCTTTCTTGCATCTCAAATATTCCACCTGGAATTTCCTTCCATCTGTGTGAAGTGCACCCTTTAAAACTTCCTTTAATAAGGTTCTCTTGGGTTCTCAGCTTCTTGGTTTTTGGTCTCTGAGTGTTCTTTAATTTCCTGCCGGCTCATTGGTATATTATGACAGGTCTCGGATATTTTATCTTGCATTTTTGGCTGTTATATCAGGAGGACTGACTGGCCACTCATCTGCTGTGCTGCTGGAAATGGAAGAGACTATACAGTGGCAGCACATCTTCCCCACTAGCCTCTAATTCCAGGAGGGGCACCGTGGCGTCCTCTGTTTACTTGCATTATAACAGCTTGTTAATGTGGAACCCTTTCAGTCTGAATTTTGGCCAAAGCCCCAAGACAACAGGTGCCAACTACACCTGAGTCCCAAGGTGAGACTCCAGGTGACCTAGGCAGGGTTGCAAAGGAGATACCAGATGAGAGCGGTCAAGGCCGGGGGAGGGCTTCCTTGGAGAGGCTGTGCAGTGAGTCCCACATCCCCACCTGCACTAGGAGAGGAGTGAGGCACTTTCTCTTCTCACCTCATGCCTGCTGGGAGGGGCTTCACAAGGACCCCTGCGAAGGCCTGCTGTGTGCTTCCTGGGGCTGGTGGTGGCACTGAAGTCTGATGTCTCTCCACACTTGAGAAATCCAAAGGTTGCACCCGGCGGCTCCAGGTAGGCAGCTGTGCTGCACCTGGGAAGTACCACTGCCAAACTGGTGGGTTGAAGGTGCACACTTCCTGTGGAGCAGGTGGGGCGACAACACCCAAACATGGGCCTGGGATGTCTCATGTCTTCCCAGGAGGGTGCCTGGAGGCCTGAGAAGAGGCCTTGGCAAAAGAGGCTAGTGGTACCCACTGACACCTGGGCTGAGGAAGGACACACAAGGGACCAGCTGGAGAGGATGGATTGCCTGTGTTGGCCAACTGAGGCAGGCAGACCCCCAGGTTTATGGTCTCTCAAGAAACCATGAACACACCCAAGAGTTCCCATGGACCCCCTGCCAAGCCTGTGTGCCAGCTCATGGCAGTGTGGCTGCGTGGTGCAGCTCCCAACCTCACCTCTTCTCCCTGCTGCCGCTCTCACGTGAAAGAGTCAGAAACCACAGCTGCAGGACCACAGGGAGAAGCAGCGGACCTGACCCAGCCTCCCGCCTGCTGGAGCCCCAGGGGAGGGTGGGAGAAAGTTCACACTTGAAAGACTTCCAGAGTTTTAAGTGTTTCACTGGACTGATCATACCCATAGCAGGCTCAGCCTGCCGGGGGCTGAATCTCCTGGAAGGACCAGAAAAGTCCTGCCCCGGTTCTCCCAGGGGCAGAGGGGGAGCCAGCCCTCAAAGGAGGTTTGCTGGGGCAGCAAGAGAAAAAGAGCAGTTTTTGGTTGACCACGAGTAGACATGTCCTGGGCAGATGCAGGTACCAGGAGCCAGTGAGTAAACGAAGGAGGAGCCAGCAAGGGCTGCCCCTCCTCCTGCCCAGATTTATCTTTTGGGAGTAATTACAAGATGGCAGGAAAAATAAAACAAGCACGTGAAATAATTGAGTGACCTTTCCGCAAGATGACTGTGCAGGCCTGTCCTGGGGCTCAGAGGCTGGAAGCAAGGGCTGGGCCAGCTATCAATCCTGGATGCCCTCAAATGATGCAAAATGAGTGTGTCTTTGCTGGAAATGACCCCAGGGGGAGCATCTTCCGGAAAGTGTCAGTGATGGAGGGGAAGGGGAATAAGGAGGCTCCCGCAGCAAACTGCCGACAGTGAATCTGGTAGCGACCCACAGCCATGTCCCATGTGGGGACGAGTCCACCCAACGCTGCACACAGAGCAGAGAAGGCAGGTCCCCACCTCCTGCCACACCAAAGGGCTTGTCTCAGCTGCTCGGCTGCTTTAAGGAAACACCACACGCGCGGCTTAAACAACAGAGACCTATTTTCTCTCAAGTCCATGGTCAGGGAGCCGGCAGACTCAGTCCCTGTGAGGGCTCTTTCCCAGCTTAGAGATGCCGCCTCTACACCAGGCAGGGGGAGAGGCAGAGAGCTTTATGGTGTCTCCCCCCATCAGGACACTAATCTTCTGGGGTCAGGGCCCCACCGGATGACCTCATTTAACCTTAATCACCTCCTTAGAGACCTCATCTCCAAACACAGCCACACTGGGGTCAGGCCTCGATGTGTGTAACTGGGGTACACAAACATTCAGTCCGTAACAGGGCTCATCAAGAGAAGGATAACTCTCTAGTAAAAGTGGAAAATTGGTACAATTTAGCTTAACAACTGTATACACATCGGTCCTGGGTTTCAAGATCATTAACGTCTCAAGGAGCACTTCACCTCTGACGTGCTAAGGAGCATGGCATCCTGCGTGGATGCTCCGGGTCCACCTCAATGTGAGGGCTTCCGGACCTGCCCATGGTGGGGGCAGGCAGACCTGTCTAGCAAGGCAAGCAGGGTGGCCGGGATCTACCGGGCAGGGCTCCAGGGCAGATGTGTGTGGAATTGGGTCCCACAGGCTGAGCACAGAGAATGCAAAGGGACAGGAGCCTCAGACACGACCAGAGGGTGCATGAAGAAGTGGGGACAGCATCTCTGTCACGTGAACAATCCCAGGTTTTCATGGAGAGTGAACTGCGCTGCTCCATCCTTCCCTCCCACTCAGTTTTGTGGGTGGAGACTGTTCCCCTCCCTCTGGCACATCTGGGTGGCCAATCAGCACTCCCGTCTGCGTGACTCATGGGTGGACCCGGATCCCACCCCCCACCCCTGGCACCTGCGCACGCTGGCTCTCCACTCCACAAGGTCGTCGTCAGACCCAGCGAGTTGAGTCTCTGGGAAAGAGCTGACCCTGTGGTGCATCTGCTCAGGGAGGGTGAGCCTGACAGACCACCAGGCCTAAGAAAAGGACTCCGGGGCTTCTCTGGCCCTCCATCCTGGGGTCGCACACCCTGGAGGGAACCCAGCTCCGCTCCAGCTCCACTTCGGGGGTCCCTATGCCTCTCCACAGCCCCCTGTCTCTCCCCTTGGAAGTCAACTATTCAAGAGCAGAAAATCCCACTCTTGTGTACGAGCAGAAGGTTTTTAGAAGCGCTGGCCCTGTGCTCTATGCTAAAATGAAAGAAATAAATAAAATAAACCCACTGCCTTTTAAAAATCCATGAGAGTCAGCACTAAAGTAAACACTGAAAGCGAAGTTTCAGCCGTCATCACCCTGTGAGGCTGAGCTGCCTGCGCACGACCTTCCTGAAGGTGACTTTTTATGGGCGCTTTAATGAAATCAGCTCATCCGCTTCTGAGTCAGGAAGCACAGATTAAGATCCAATTTTTATAGCTTGACTTTTTTCTAACTACACAGTGGAAATGAATTCGGTTTTTAGAATTTCTCCTAAAACATACAGCTTGAGGGGGATTCAAACCTTGGAATCCTCGGTAGAAAAGGTGTGACAGAGAAATCAAGGCTGTTGTTTCACCCAAACCTGACAGTCAAAACAAGTTGTGAGCCGCGAGACTGACGGACCTGCAGCACAGGCGTCAGCCAGTCGGCCACAAAGCTCCGGCCAGGTGAAGGGGGTCTGCCCGTATCAGGGCAGGGAGTGGGACCAGCGGTACGGTGGGAAGATCACTCTGCTTCTGGTTAAGAACCAGGCATTCAGGTGGACACTGGGACAGCCGTCTGAACTCAAGCCAACCCCCGCCTAGCTGGGCACAGCTGGACCCAGGAAGTGACCAGTCCCCTGCCAATCTCCCACTGGGAGGTCCCCTCTGCATGAGTGTGTCAGTGGGAGAAGGGCGAACTGACAAACCACCCCCGGCAGTCCCCCGTCTGGCCCGAGCTGTCCAGACAGGTCATATGGAAGGTGGGGTGGACTTAGTCCAGTGGCTCCAACTATAACAGGATGCTTTTTGGAGGCAAGTTTGGGGACCGTGCCCTCGATCTGTCCTGGTACCCGCCACATCTCGAATGACTCTTGCAACCTCTCCATCATACCGCAACCTGGAAGAGCACACTTGTCCTGCACAACTGAGCTCCTGAGCTCAGCCCTGGTCTTGCTCCCCTGCGAAGCGGATCTACCTGGAGCCCAGCGTTGTGGGGAAGCCTCAAAACCCCCAGAGCGAGTGAGGCTGAGAAGAGGGAGGCCAGCCCCTTCCCCTTCCAAAGCTGCTCTGCCTTGTCAACATCCAGCAAATCCTCTGCCAAATGATCACCCAGGACAAGGGGTGCAAACCAGCCCCTCCCAGCAAAACAGGGTGGGACCCAGGTGAGACCCAGCCAGGCACAGGTAAGACTGAGCTGGCACAGGTGAGACCCAGCTGGACACAGGTGAGACCAGCTGGGCACAGGTGAGACTGAGCTGACACAGGTGGGCACAGGTGAGACCCAGCTGGACACAGGTGAGACCAGCCGGGCACAGGTGAGACTGAGCTGACACAGGTGGGCACAGGTGAGACCCAGTTGGACACAGGTGAGACCTGTGTGGGCACAAGTGTGACCTATGTGGGGGCGGGTGAACACAGGTGAGAGTCCTACCTTGGAAGAAGCTCTTCACCCTGAGGTAGCTGACGCTGAGGCGCAGGACCGAAAGCTTGTCCAGCTTAGAGATGATGTCGGGTGGAAAGGGCAGCAGGCTGGCCAGGTGGTCCAGCTCAGCGTTGAGGCGGTCCCGGTGCCGCTTGGAAGGGTTTGACTTCTCGGCCCCCACGGCGGGCCTCCTGTGGGGAAACAGCCACAGTGAGACTTGGGCTTCTCCACCAGGGCCAACGGCCCACAGGTGGAAATCTGTCCCTGTAGTGATCTTAGCAATCAGCTTCAAAACGGAACTGCCGCCAGGAAAAAAGTGCTGGAAAGGACTAAAACCCACCCATTCCTGAAGATAAATGAACAGAAGAAACTGAAATCACACTCGTTATCAGGAGGGAACATGCAGCAAGATAACAGGGAGTGGGGCGAGCTGTGCGACTCCAGCACGTTTCTTGACCTATCTGTGGAAACTTTCCCTGAAGCGGGAGAACGGCACCCGGCCCTGGCTGCATTTGCTCAGCTTCTTTCAGGCTTCCTTGGTGTCCAAACACCTGCCCTTCTCAGGCTCTGAGCCTCCCAGCCCTGCGGTTGAGGTGTGTGTGGCCTCTCTGGGCCTTGGTTTCTCCTCTACACAGTGGGGCTAAGAGGGGCAGAGGCAAGGATAATCGAGGACCCGTGGGCACCATGGTTGCCATCCCGCCTGCCCCTCCAAGGCCCCGAAGTCACGGGCTGTGCCGCTGTGCCGGGGTCCAGGGCCCTTGGCTCCTCCATCCCCTTGCCCCACAGCAGACCTGCTCTCCCCACAAAGGGAGCACCCCCTGCCAGGGCTCCCTGTGCCCCTCCCCGCAGAGGGGAGAGCTGGTCAGGCCCCGCCTGCCTCACAGCAGCTCCCTCATCTGACCTCTAACCCCAAGGATGACGGTCCCCTCCATTTGACCCTGTTTCCCACCTCGCAGGAACCATTCTGCTTACGCGTCCTTCCTAGACGTCATCCACGGGAAAGCATCTGTGGAGCCCCCGGGATGGGAGGAGACGGGCAAGCCCTGCAGTAGGGCCGCCTGGCTCCCAGCCCAGCCCTTTCCGGCCCTGGTGCCCCGTGGGCTGCAGTCTCCTGCTGCGTTTTGGGGCTGGGGTCTCTTTTGTCCAGAAGCTCCTGTTTCTACTGTGTGTCCACTTATAAGGACATTGAAAGCGTGCCCTCAACAACCCGTCCTGTCATAACTCCGCAGACAGCCCTCCGCACTGTCCGAGGCCTCGGCCACAGGACACAGAGGAGCGGCGGCTCCAACCCTGGAGGCTGGTGCTGTTGCTTTAAGTTGAGACATAATGCACGGAACATGAAGCTTACCGTGTCAAGGTGCACGCTCTGTGGCAGTTAGTACATCCACAGTGTCATACAACCGCCACCTCTAGCAAGTTCCAAAACATTTCCACACCCCAAATAAAACCCTGTCCCCATTCGGCTGTTTCTCTGTTTTCCCCTCCCCAGCAAGCACAATCTGCTTTCTGTCTCTATGGATTTGCCCATTCTAGACACTTCATATAAATAAAATCATACAATACGGGACTTTCCATGTCTGGCTTCTTTCACTTAACATCATGTTTCAAGATTCATTCATGGTGTAGCATTTATCAGAACTTCATTGCTTTTTATGGCTGAATAATATTCCATTGTATGGATGTACCACATTTTGTTTATCCATTCACCAGTCGATGGGCATTTGGGTTGTTTCCACTTTACAGGTATTGTAAACAATGCCACAACAAACATTCATGTCCAAGTCTTTGTTTGAACATATGTTTTCAGCTCTCTTGGGTATATGCCTGGAAATGGAATAGCTGAGTTAATATGCTAATTCTATGTTTAATGCTTTGAGAAACTGCCAAATTGTTTTCACAGCAGCTGTGCCACTTTACATGCCCATCGGCAATGTAGGAGGGTTCCAATTGCTCCACATCCTTGCCTACATTTATTATTTTCCTTTTTTTTTAAATATAATAGTCATTCTCATAGGTGTGAAGTGGTACCTCATTGTGTTTGGTTTGCATTTCCTTAACGCCCAATAATGTCAAGCATCTTTCACATGTTTGCTGACCACCTGCATATTTTCTTTAGAGAAATGTCTATTCAAGTCTTTTTATTGTTGAGTTATATGAGTTCTTTATATGTTCTGCATACTAGATCCTTACCAGATACATAATTTGCAAACAATCTCTTCCATTCTGTGGTTATCTTTTCAGTTTCTGCTAGTTTGTTTTCTTAATGAGGAACCTACCCCAATATTACTCACACCATTAGCCAAAATTTAAATAGGCAGGATTCCTGGGGATAAACTGACTCCAGAGTGGACTTGCACCTGCTGGCCAAAGGAGAGGGCCACCCTGTCAGTGAAAGACACCCACAGCCTCCCCAGAAAACAGGCTGACCAAGGGCAGGTGAGGGGCGTCAGGGGAGGGGAGAGACACTGGGAGTCAGGCAGGATGGCTCAGAACTCACTTGTGTGAGTTGGGGGAGGGGCTGCCCACCTGCCTCCCCAGACAGGCTGTGCCTGAGAACGAGCTGAGCCATGACTGTCCCCCACCCGACCCCCATGGGCATCTGGGGGAGGGACACTCGTCTGCCAAAGAAACGGGTGTTGGAAGAGCTTGGCAAACATCATTCTATTCCTTCAACTGTCTCAGAATGCCTGGCGGCCCCCTGATGCAGCTCCACTGCCACACTCCTCACTCCCCAGCCCACGGGCCAGAGCAGGAACCACCCCACCCCACGCCCAGGAGGGCGAGAGGGACGAGGGTCGAGAGACCACGTGGAGGGCAAACACCCCGCGGAGTAGGCCTGGAGCTGAAGCCAGGGGCACGTGAAGCAGGCTCCACTTCCCCAGGGCAGAGTCAGCACTGTTAGCACACACACAGGGCAGGAGGGGCCCGGGTGGCTCAGAGGGAAGGAGAGCCACAAAGGAAGCCTGGGCCCCAAAATATGAAATACCGCAAATAAATCTAACAAAACCCCAGACACCTCGACTGAAACTATACAATTCTGCCCAGAAATATTTTAAAAGACTTAAACAAATGGAAAGACATACCATGTTCATAGATTGGAAGACTCAATATTGTCAAATTGGCAATGCTCCCCTAGACTGACTTATTGATTCAATGTAATCTCAATTAAAATTCCAGCAAGACTTTTTACAGAACCTAACAAACTGATTCTAAAATTTATGAGGAAAGGCAAAGGACTGAATAGCCAACTAGAGAAGAACAAAGTGAGAGGACTTGTCCTGTGGATTTTCAGCCTTCTCTTAAGCTGCAATATTCAAGACGGTTTGGTACTGGAGAAAAGAGATACAGATCAACAGAGGAGAGAGTCCAGAAAGAGACCCTCATATTTTTGGTCAATCATTTGACAAAGATACTGAGGCAATTCAACAGGGAAAGGAAAGTTTTCAATAAATGGTGCTAATCAACAGGGCATCCATGAAAACAGGCGAACATCAACCCTCACCTCACACAATACCCCAAAATTAACTCAAAATACATCACAAACCTAAATCTAAACCCTACTAAGAAACCTTACAAGGAAGTACATGAGGAAATCTGTGAGACCCTGGGGTACTCCCAGGACTCTTAGAACACACAAAAAATCATAAAAAATAAAACTGATAAATTGATCTTCATCAACATTTTTTAAATGTCTTTTGAAAGTCACCATGAACAAAATGAAAAGGGAAGCCACAGATTGGAAACAAATATTTACAACAAGAGCTTGTATCCAGAATATGTAAAGACATTGTACAATTCAATAAGAAGACAAACAACCCAGTAAGAAGATAGGCAAATTATTTAAACAGACACTTCACCAGAGAAGATATACAGATGGCAAATAAGCACATGAAAGATACTCAATACCACTAGTCACTACGGAAACACAGATTAAAACCCTGATGAGAACCACCATAACCCACCGGGATGGCCAACCCAAGAAGACTGGCCACCCAAAGTCCGGGGGAGGAGGTGGAGGAGCGGGAAGCCTCTGCCTGCTGCCAGGGATGGGAGACGGCACAACTGCTCTGGAGAACACTCTGGGGGGCCCTAACACGCAAACGCCCACCTACCACATGGCTCAGCCGTTCCACTCCTAGGTGTTCACCAAGAGAAACAAAACACGTCCACACAACGCTCGTGCACAGACGTTCACAGCAGCTTTACTCAAAATAGCCCCAACCTGGGAACACCCCAGCTGTCCATGCGCAGACAAATAAACGGACGTGGAGCATCCATACGCTGGAGCACTTCTCAACAATGAACAGGAACACTCCTGATGCACACAAACCGTGGATGAACCTCAAAGTCATTACGAAAGTGAAAGCAGCCCAGAAACGGTGAACAGTTCTGTTTACAGAAAATTCCGGGAAATGCGGACCAGTCCACAGGACAGACACACAGCAGAGGCTGCCTGGGACGTGGTAAAGGAGAGACAACAAGGGCATCTGGGTGTGACGGGAGTGTCTGTGACCTTGATTTCAGTGATGGTTTCACAGGTGTTCACATATCTCAGAACCAACAGATGTGCTCTTTAAATATGTGCAGTTATAGCCCAGTAAAGAGGAAAAATGCAGAAGAAGAGGGAAGCCCTCGGCTTGCACACCTCAGAGGGCTTCAGACAGGCCGCTGAGCTCAGAACTGCACCGCACCCACCCAATTTGGGGGCTGGGAGAGAGCAAGGAAGAGCCTTGCAAGGGCCCAGCTGAGACGAAGGCTCTGGGCAGCACCCCGCAATCCAGCATCCACACCGGCCCCCAGGGGCCCTCAGGAGCAGGTTCCACCCAGGAGCCAGGTGCTCGTGAGTCCAGACGAATTCGCCTCCTGTACACCCCACACTCCATGACCTTTGTCACCACCCTTCCAGGAGAGAAGATGCAAGAAAGAAGACCCACCCCCAGGGGACGGGGCTGCACCACAGCCCCGCTGCCCTCTCGGTGGCGAGGAGGCAGAACCACAACTGGAACGTGGGCACAGAGCAGCCAGCGCAGCCGGAGTCCGGGTGCCCTGCTCTCAAACAGCAAACCAAAATCACTTGGCCTCCAGTTTCACTAGAACACATCCCGAGAGAGGAGCTCTGCACGCAGCACACACCCTGCAGCTCCCCAAGCAGGTCGACACGCAGCCTTACCGACACACATACACTGTGCTTGGACAAGCCGGCACGGCCACTCTCCCACACCGCACCTCACAGCGTCCACATCCGAGCAGCGGAATGGACGTGCTGGCGTGAGTCTGAGTCTGCAGACATCTATCAACTGCACGGGATCCCATGGTATCCCACTGCCCCTCGGATCTCGAGCCTCACATGCCCAACGCCATTTCAAATCAGTGAGAAAAACCGATCATTCAACAAAAGTGTGAGGAACAACCAGCCGCCACAGGGGATAGAGTCAGATCCCACATCTCACACCAGGAAAAGTTCCTAGTGCCCAAAAGTTTTAAATTTATACTCATACTAATATAGTAATATACATATATTTTTAAGGAATCCATAAAAGTTTAGAAGAAATATCAGGAAAATTTTCTCGTAAACTTGAATCAGGGAAGATCTTTCTAATAGTGATGTAAAATTAATTGGCCACAAAGGAAAAGATTAATGAATTCAACTTCATAAAAATTAAATTTTTCTGCATGGCAAGAAACACAATAAGGAAAATCAAAACTGGGGAAAATGTTGACAACACTGAAGCATCATCCTCCCTGCACACAAGCTCCCACAGATCAGGAAGCATGAAAGATGAAGAATCCATTAGAAAATGAGCGAACGTTATCAACACAGTTCACAGAAAAGGAAACCTGAGCAGCTCACAGACCTAGCTTATGATCAGAGGGAATTAAACCACCAGTCTGAAACACACCGTGAGCCCAGAGCAGAGGTCCAGGGCACCCTCAAGCACCGAGGAGCACACCTCCAATGCTGGGCAGCTTGGCGACACCTATCAAAATCACCAACGCCCACCCCTCGGGCTGAGCAATCCCACTGCTGGGATGTACATGTGTGTTGCGGCAGGGCTTGACTTACCCACTCACAAGCCAACAACCTGCCACTGTGTCATGGATGCTGGCAGAGGGCACCAGTCTCCTGGGCCAGAGACAAAGGACCTATTCCTCCCGGCCTGGCAGGCGGTGTGAGCCTCAGCATGTCGGTGTCATATACCCACGTCCCAAGGCCCATGAGGGTGATACAGAAGGAGCCAGGCAGGTGCTGCACGCTCAGGGGTGTGTGTCGTGGCCAAAGAATCCTAACCTTGGGGAACCCCCAATGCACAGTACACAAGATGCTCTGCCCAGGCAGTCGCTCCCTCACCCTCAAGGCTGCTTACTCCAAACAGCCCTGAGATGCGGCCCAGGTACCAGCGGTCAGGGCCTCGCATTCTTGGAGCCAGCACAAGTGCCACAGGATGTGTGGCGACATGGCAGACTGCCTCCCAAACAATGAGCACGTGTGCAAAACGGTGCACAGGCTACCTACCATGGCGATGTCTGTGAGACAGTCTACCAGGTGCCATGAAGGCTGGCAAAAACAAGTCGTGATACATTCGTGTGCACTGGCAGCTATAAAGGTACACTGACACAGAACCATCTGCAAGGTGCACAACAGTATGCACTTGGTTCTAAAGGGAGAAAGCTCATGTGCTGTACATCCATGTCTGCTGGTTTGTGCATAAACTACCTAGGAGGGATTCATGAGAAAATGTCAACAGAGATGCAGGGAGCTTGGTGGGAGGAGCCGGGCTGGGACGGAGATTTCTCTCTGAGTTCTGAATCAGAGAGCAACCGCCTCTTCAAAACACCAATCAATAAATTTATTACTTACAGTAAATGCCTCCTCATCTCAGACCCTGTCATTGGAGCAAAACATCATAAGAGCAGCACACTTAACTCCTCTGCCCCTAGGCCACTCTCCACACAGAACAAAGTATGTGCGGCCACGTCTCGAGGTGTTGTCTTTCCTTATTCAGTGTGACAACTGTGTTCACCACAGTGAGTCTCTGTCCCTCCCACACCCTCAAGACATACCTTCCAACCGCCTTGTCCTGGATCCCTCTGCCTCCTCCCGGGTGCACGGAGCTCTGTCCCCCAGCCCCACTGTTCCCCAGCAGACCACCTGCGCCCTGTGCTCCCAGCACCACACTCCAGCACAAGCCCTGCAGTGCTCCGGCGGCCACACAACCGACAAGTCCACTGTTCAGAGTCCCACCTCGCGAGCCTTTGCTGCCTATCCGCAGGGCTGGTGGTGCCCACGTCGCTGGGAACCTCTCACAGAATCCTGCAGCCACTGGAGGCCTGGAGGGCAGCCTGGGTCACAGAAACACAGACCCACACACAGACACTGCTGCAGGTGTGCACCCACACACACGCACAGCCTCACACACACCCATACTCACACCCACTCAGAGCTAACACACACTCACATACAGCTGTGTTACACACACAGGCCCAGCCAACAGTGGACACCCTGTGGGTCCTGCTCGAGGAGCCACAGGCAGCCTGTGGGCCTCTGAGATGCCCCTCTCCTCTGACCTCCCAGCAGGGCGGCTCTGAAGTCCAGCCCGTTATTCCAGCCACCACCACACACCTCACACCTCGGCAGCCCCGAGCTCCAGTCGGCGGGCCGCGGGCAGGTAGAGGGACCCTGAGCAGTGGTGTTGTGTCCCAGGGCTAGCGGGGGCTGGGGCTGTGGGCTCCCCTCCCCACTCTAACTAAATCTCTAGGCGGGGCTGATGGGCCCGCAGAGTGTCATTCCACTTGTGGTGATGCTCACAAGGGAGCTCCAGGTGCCTCACCAGGGCCAAGAGGGGATCGGGGCAACTGTCTCAGCCTTCCGTGTCGTCACTGGGTCCTAACGTCGCCTTCCTATCAGAGTTGGGAGAGCAGCCCAAAGCAGGCTCTGCCATCATCCATGACCCGCCGAGGAAAGGCAGAGGTGGCAGGGTCCGCGGCTGAAGGGACACAGGTCACTCCCACTACCCGCCAGGCCACGCCTGCTGCCCACCAGGCTATGCCCACTGCGTCCGCACATCCCTCCACACTTCAGGAAGGCTCCACCAAAACCTCTCCCTCGCTCGCTTTGTTCCTAAGTCCACTGTCTTCAAAGAAGATGCAAACACCTTCCCCCTTCATCAGTAATAATCAGCAAAAACAGAAGACATGACACTTTACTGTTTCTGAATGGGCTTCCTTCTTTTCCTTCCAGCGTACATGCACTCCCCTGGCGGAATCATCGTCTTTGGCCCTAGAAAAGAAAAGGAACATCTAGTTGGTCACGCTGAAGAGACCCCAGTGCCTGTACAACTCCCCAAACTACCGAAGGCAGCAGCGTCAGCTGAGGTCCACTGTGCCACACGGAGGCGTCCACACGCTGCGCTCCTCCACTGCAGGATGACCTGAGGCACCTGGAGCACGAGGCCTGCCTTCCCTCGGCAGGAAGATGCGGGAGAACCCACGAGGACGTGCACCCCAAGCCGTGATATCTCCCCTTCAAGGGGCAGCATCATGGTCCCCCAGCCTGGCCTGAGGACCCATGTCCCCAAGAGAGAAACAGCCCTGCGCTCCTGCGCCTGTCTCGGAAAGTTTACCGTCCATAAATATCCCAGGCCTGCCATCAGAAAATAGAAGCCATCCTGCAGGGTGTCTGTGAGCAGGACACACAGCCTGAGGCGCGAGGAGCAGCCTACTGCTCTACGGCCCTGAGCAGGCGCTCGGGGCTGTGTGCGTCTGCTCTCTGGGGTGTTCATGGCAGGCCGTCTTCCTCTTCCTGTCCCTCCCCTCAATGGCCCCGTACTTCTGGGCCAACAGCCTCCCTCTTTACTATGTGAAATCTCTTACTCAACCCCACGATGCTGGGCTTCCACTTTGGCCACTAACTCACAGCCACACTGAGCCCAGCCGACCACACCTGCTGGCTAGCCATGCTGGGCACATGCACCTGCGTCCGAGTGGAGGTCCCTGAGGAGCAGTCCAGTATCTATGCCCCGAGGCTGGTCAGCTTGCCCACCACCTCAGGAGGGCATCAAAATCTTGATTGTTCCATGCAGCGAGGACGTCTGAGCCCTCACAGACATCCTGCAGACCAGTGTGCAGGGGACCCTCAATGCCAGGCTCCCACCAGCAGACCTGGAGAGGACGTTAGAAGCTCTCAACCAGCCTCAAGCGTGCGCCCCGGGAGAGGCAGTGGACTCAAGCACAATTCCCAGAAAGTGCTGTGAGAACAGCAGAAATGTGTCACAGACCTGCTCTAATACAAGAAAGACACTTGGAATACAAAGACAGAAGGAAGTAAAGTAAGTGAATGGAAAGACACGCCATGTGAACACTAATCAACGGAAGCCAGAGTAGCAAAGTGAGCATCAGATCAAGAGGACATCAGAAAAAGGGACATTACCAGGGACTAGAGGGATGTCATACAATGACAAAAGGGCCAATTTCCCAAGGAGGCACAGCAACGCTAAATGTGTATGCACCTAACAACAGAGCTTCAAAATATGTGAAGCAAAATCTAATAAAACTGAAATGAGAACTCATTGGAGAGTCCAACCTTCCTCTCTCAGTAATCAATAGAGCAAGTAACAGAAAATCAGACAGGATATGGAATATCCACCAACACAGACTTGAATTAAGTGAAGCTTCCAGAACACTCCGCCCAATCACAGCAGAGTGCACTCTTTGTACATGGAACAGTCATCGAGATAGACCGTAATCTGGGACTTAAGACATCCATAACAGATTTAAAAGAGTAGAAATCACACAAAGTATGTTCTCTGACAATAATGGAATTAAAGTAGAAAGAAAAATGGAAAATTCCCAAATATTTGGAAAGGAACCCACTTCTAAATAATCATGAGTCAGAGAGAAAGTCTCAAAGACATTTAAAAGTATTTTGACCTGAATGAAAATGAAAACACAACATATCAAACTTTGTGGGGTACACCTCAGCAGTACTTTGATGGAAACATAGCATTAAATGCTTATATTAGAAAAACATAAAAGGTCTCAAGTATGTAATCTAAGCTTCCACTTTAAGCAACTAGAAGAAGAAGAGAAAATAAATCCAAATAAGCAGAAAGATGGAAATAATGAAGAGAAAAAAATTGATGAAACAAAATAGAAAAATAGAGAGAAATCAAAGGAACTGAACGTTGGTTCTTTGAAAAGATCAACAAAATTGGTAAACCTCTCGCCAGACTCATCAAGAAATAGAGAAGACACAAATTGCCAATACCAGGAATGAAACAAGGGGCATCACTACCGATCCCACAGACATTAGAAGGAAAATAAGAGAAAACTGCTACAATCTTATTGTGTGCCCCCAAATCCATACGCTGAAGCCCTAATGCCCCATCTGACTTCAGTGGAGACGGGTCTTTAAGGAGGTAATTAAAGTCAAGTGAGGTCATAAAGGTGGAGCCCTGATCTGATAAGAAGAGGAGGAGACACCACAGCTCTGTCTTCACCACGTGAAGGTGGCCATTGGCAGACAAGAAGAGAGCTCCCTCCAGAAACCGGAACAGCGGCACCCTGAGCTCACCTCCTCGGCCGCCGGGGCTGCCAGAAGTAAGTTCTGTTGTTTAAGCCGCCTCGTCTGTGGCATATCGTTACAGCAGCCCAGGGAGACTGGGACAGACACCATCCCTACAAAGTCGACAATTTAGATGGAATGGACCAATTCCTTCAAAGACACAAACTAGCAAAACTCATTCAAGAAAAAATAGATAAACTGTTTAGTCCTATATCTATCTCAGCAACAGCAACAAAAACCCAGCCCCAGATGGTTTCATTGGTAAATTCTACCAATTTAAGGAAGAAATATACTAATTCTCTGCAACCTCTGGCAGAAAATTGAAAATAAAATTGAAAACTGCTAACTCATTTATAAGTTCAGCATTACCCCGATACCAAAACCAAAGACCTTTCAAAAAGAGAAAACTACAGACCAAGATCCCTCGTGAACATAAACACAAAAATCCTCAATTAGATATTAATGAATGGAACCGAGCAATCTATAAAGGACGGTCCCTCAAAACAAGTGGGGTTTATCGAAGGAATTCAAGGCTGCTTCAACGTCCAAAAATTGATCTTTTGTAATTCACTATATTAATAAGCTAAAGAAAAAATACATATGATCATCTCAATACATGCAAAAAAGCATTTGACAAAATCCAGATCCATTCATAATAACAAAAGAACTCTCCTCAAACCAGAAATAGAAGGCAACTTAACCTGAGAAAGGGCAACTACAAAAAAACCTACAGCAAACATCACACCCACTTGTGAGAGACTCAACTGTCCCCTGAGGTCACACCCCATTAATCATCACCTTTGTGTACCAGTCAGGGCAAGAGGTGAGGAAAGCAATGTCAGAAAGCGAGGAAAGAAGAAACAGCACTCTCTCTGTTCAGAGACACCACGACTGTACATATAGAAAATTCCAAAGACTTTACTAAGACAACCTCTTATAATTAATAATTGAGTTCACAGGGCACAGGGCAAAAGGACAGTATGCAAAAGTCAACTGTGTTTCTATAGACTAGCAACAAACAATTGGAATACAGAACTTTAAAAACCAGTACCACGTACAACAGCACCAAAATAAAATGAAATACTTAGGTATTTCAAGAGGTCTAATATGTGTGCACCTGGGGCCCTAAAGAATAGGAGGGTATAGGAGGTGACAGAAAATAATTTAAGAAACAACAGCAGAAATTTGTCCAAACGTAATGAAAATTGTAAACCTACAGATTCAAGAAGGCCAATGGAGCCGAGCACAAGAAACATGAAGAAAATCACACCAGGGCACAGCTTCACCGGACCGCTCATAACCAGCAATAAACTAACAACCTCGAAAGCTGCCAGAGGAAAGAGGGCAGGGCACAGGGAGGTAAGGGAGGGGCGGGCAACACGGCCCGGGAGCGCGTCCCTGCAGGGCTGGGAGGAAACCCTGACCCAGGACTGCACACCCTGGGAAACCCCTTTCAGGAGCGGAGGGAAGGAAAGGCTTTTCTGACACACCAGAGCTGGAAGAGGCCCTTCCAGCACACCCACCGTGAGAAACGTGAAGGCTGTCTTCAGGCCAAAGGAAAGCGAGACCAGGTGGGGACATGGGCCACAAAGCACAGGAAACCGTGACTGAGCGGTAAAAAGGCAAGGTCTGCCCCCACCACTTACATGTCTTCAGAAGAGAACTGACCCGAAGAACAATGACACACGCAGCCCTCAAGGGCATGGCAGCCGCAGCTCGAAGGCCAGGAGGGGGGACGGAAGCACCTCTCACCATCCAGGAGGGCCTCAGGGGCTGGGACGCTGTGCCAGGTCCACGAACTGCCTCGAGGCTCCACCCTCACCCTTCCCTGCCCTTCCAGCCTTTCTTCTTCAAGTCAGCACAAGACACCGGCCAGGGGAGGGTGCCAGAGGGGTCGTGCTCAAAGGAGAAAGGGGCTTCTGGTCCCGGGCCTGGACTTCTCTGTTCCTGCTCACCACCATCAGAGGCTGGGGATCCAGTGAGCGTCCCCTCCTTCAGGGCGGGACCTCCTCCATGAGGCCCGAATGCCAGCTCTGGGGGATCCCACTGCCAAGTGTGCTCTTTGGGCCTGGAGTACCCTTCAGAGCCTTCAGAGTACCCCCACTGTAGCACTTAATACTTGGTATTAAAGAAGTTAGAAATATAAAAAGCTGATTTTTTAAAGTCCACATATTTTAGAGAGACACACTAAAACACACATGAAGGAAATACCATTTGAGGGATTCGCTTCTAAAGAATCTGGGGAGCAGAGTGGGTCTAAATGATATAGCAGTGACATAGTGGGATTTAAAGGAAAATGGGTCAGCCAATACTGACAGCTGTCCATCTGTGCTAGTTGATGTATAAATTGGGCTCATTATAAAATTCCCTCCACTTGGTAAACAATTAGAAAATTTCCATAATAAAAAGTTTTTTTTTAAAAGCATTAAAAAGAGAGAAAACATGGCATAAGAATAGATATGCTATGGCCAAAGGTGCCAAGGCCACTCAGTGGGGAAAGAACAGTCTCTCCAGCAAATGGTGCTGAGACAACGGGACATCCACATGCCCAAGAACGAAGCTGGACCCCTACCTCACACCATATGAAAAATTAACCAAGGTTAGCTAAAGACCTAAACATAAGTGCTAACACTATAAAACTCCAGAAGAGAACATAAAGCTACATCTTCATGGCCTCAAATTTGGTGATGGATTTTCAGATATGACACTGAAAGCACAAGTAAAAAAAAGAAAAAATAGATGAAATGCACTTCATCAAAATTAAAAACTTGTGCTTCAAAGGACACTATCAAGAAAGTGAGAAGACAACCCACAGAATGGGATAAAATATTTGCAAATCATATATCTGATGAGGGTCAATATCCAGACTATGCAAAGAACTCAGCAACAAAAAGACAAACAACCCAACTGAAAATGGGCAAAGGACTGGAATCGACATTTCTCCAAAGAAAATACACAAATGGTCAACACACACGTGAAAAGATGCTCAGCATCATTAGGCAGTAGGGAAATGCAAATCAAATCCACACTGAGATGCCACTTCACACCCACTAGGATGGCTGAAATAAAAAAATGGAAAATAACACGTGTTGGTGGCATGTGGAGAAACCAAGACCCTTGTGCTTGGCTGGTGGGGGTGCAAAATGGTGCAGCTGCTGTGGAAACAGTTTGGCAGTTCCTCACAAAGCTAAAGAGAATTATCATGTGACCCGGCAGTACCAGTCCCAGGTATATGCTCAAAAGAACATACATTCAAACAAAATCCGGCACACAAATGCTCATGGCATCATTATTCACAATAGCCAAGAAGTGTAAGCAACCCAATGCCCATCAACTGGTGAACGGATAAACAAAATGTGGTAAATCCACACCGTGGAATATTACTCAGCCATCAAAAGGAATGAAGTTCTGACACACACTACAACTTGGATGAACTTTGAAAACATTGCACTACGTGAAAGAAGACAAACTCAAAAGGTACATTTCAATTCCGTTTCTATGAAACGTCAGAACCAGCAAATCCATAGAGATAGAGGCTGGATGAGTGGTTGCCAGGCGCTAGGAGAGGAAGGAATGGGGAGTGACTGCTAATGGGTATGGAGTTTCTGTTTGGAGTGAAGAAAAGGTTTTGGAATTAGATAGAGGTGGTATTTGTATTGTATTGGTATTTGGCAATATACTAAATAAATGCCACTGAATTGTACATGTTTAAGTGGTTAATTTTATGTTATGTGAATTTTATCTCAATAAAAAACATAGAACACATATCTATATATAAATAAAAATAAGACTTCTGGAGTGGTGAGAAAGAAGCAACGGCAGGCAGGAAACGGGTGCAGTGAGTCTAGAAACACCTCAGGAGCTCTGCACAGAGGGAGCAGAGAACGGGGGTGGCTGCAGGGACTCGGAGCTGATGGAGACGATGCGAGAGAGAAAAGGAGGGTCTGGAGAATGGGGGGCGGGGGTGTGTGAGCAGGGATGGTGTCCCATGGCCACAGGCTGGAGCAGCAACGAGTGGTGGGATGCTCTAGAAGGGACCAGCTTCCCTGGCCTCACCCTGTGCCACAGCCACCACGCCTGCACTTCTCCGGGAGGCCAGTCCTCAGTGGCTGGAGGCCAGAGTGCAAGGCCACCCCATCTGAAGCGCAAGGACTTTCAACTCAACAGGAGAGTCCTGAGCTGCACCCAGCCTGTGGGAGAACAGAGAACAGGCTGGGGATGTTCCCACACCCGGAGAGGGCCAGCACTTAGCAGCCTACTTGGCCACTCCTCAAGGTCAAAGGTGAAGGGGACAGCTGACCTGTACCAGCCCCAGGAGACCCATCCCCAAACCACCATTCCCCAAACCAGCCCCGAGCCTTAGAGCAGAGATGGTGGGGGGAGCACTGCAGGGACGATGAAGAAGGCGCCAGCGGACCCCTCACTCTCCTTTATCCAAACCCCTTCTCCAGGCAGGCGCTGAGGCAGGCCCCGGGCTCACGCCTGCCCCTCCCAGCCTTGTGCACCACAGGCCAAGTCCTCCCTCCCTGTCTCCAGCTCAGCATTCAGAATAGCCCTAAAAATGCAAGTTATGGCAAAAAGCACCAAGAGCAGACACATCATTTCCAGGTACCCCCTGCTGGGGGGTGTGGAAGGAATCGAAGGAGCCGCCATTGTCCCCCAGCCACCGTCCCCGCTGAACAGCCCCGGTCTGGGGTCCAGCCTGTGCCGAGGTTTCTGCCCTGGGAATCCTAAACACAGGCGGCACGACCACAGTCGGCAGCCACATTTTACTAAATACTCCTGCATTCTCCCCAAAAAGATGAAGCCTCACTGGGATGGGACCTAACTCCCCACAGAAACGCCCTCTGAGGCAGGATGAGGTGGGAGCTTCCTCCTCTGCCTCAGATGCAGGCCAGGGGGCAGGAGCCCTCCCCACTGGGCTCCTTGCAGCCGCGCAGGCCGGGCCAGGTCCCTCCTGCAGCCACAGGCGCTGCTGGGGTGGGCGCAAGCCGGGGGCCTGGGAGCACAGGGGACACTTGGTGTGAGCTGGGCCCCTCAGGGCTGTTTGCGGGCCTCACGTCCCCGCCAAGCTCTGAGTTGACTGTGAGTTTCTCAGAGGAATCTGTCCATTTTAGCCGATAAAGACAAGCAAAAAAGAAAATAAGACGTCCTCACAGGCAGCGGTGCCCCCAGCCCTCTTTCTACAAGGTCTGAGTCCAAACTCGGCCAGTTATGGCTGGAAGTGCTCCTCCATAAACGGGGCACTGCCAGCCCCCAACTGCCAGAGGGAGGGCCACAGAGACGGCACAGCCCCCACCTCAGGGCTGGCACCACCCGCCGGCCACTCGCCTGCCCACGGGTGGGGACGCCCGCACATCACTGCACAGTCTCCCCCACCGCCACAGGGCTCCCACCCCGGAGCCCACAGAAGCCAGCACGAGGCCCTAATGGCGGACGTCGGTGGGGAGGCAGCCCAGGCTGAGAAGAGGCCGCCTGCCGAGTGTCCTCGGTGGGTTGGGCTGTCCACCAGGCCGGGAGAAGACCAGTTACACAACGGTCAAGTCCTCAGAGCTTGGGGACAGATGGCCCAGGGCACGTACTCATGCACCCCTTCTGTGCCGAGCCCCTGGAGGACCAGAGCCTGTGGCTGGTCACACAGAAGCTGTGGGTGAGTCATGCGGCCATTCCCCATGACGACACTCCGCCAGCCACAGCTGGACGCTTCCAAGGGGGGCAGCTGCCTCCAGCCCCAGCCCCTCAAACCAAGCAGGAAGCAGGAGGAGGGACCCCAAGGGCAGAGCTGCCCAAGGCCTCTGACCTCCGACCCTGGGGGATCACCTGCCCCAGTGGACCCAATGGGGGTCACAGCAGCAACACCAGGGTGGGCAGGTCCCTGAGGGTCTGTGCCACTCACAAAGTATCCACAATCTGGGATTTTCGGCCACTCAAAATATGACTTTAGGGAAAAAAATCTTTCTTGGTGCCACTAACTGAAACTGAGTGAATTCCTGGAACCCGGGCCTTTCCGCCTTCCCAAGTGTGAGAACCAAGCCTGGTGCTCCCTGCCCGGAAGGAGGGCCGGAGCTGAGCCACCCCAGCCCTGGGCCCCCACTCTGGGCATCCCCCACCAGCTGCCTTTGTGGGGCGCGGGGCGCCGGTTCCAAGCCCCCGCCAGCATCTGCCCAAAACACTCCTGAGACAACGGGGCCAAGAGCAAAGGGCAATTAGCCCGACTGGTCCAGCGCGGGGGTCCCAGGCAGGAGTTCCGACTCACTGCGTGGGGGGAGTCTCCGCTCCTGGCGGGAAACTGAGTGACCAGCAGCAGTGGGGGTGGACGGCTCCCCTCAAAAGTTGAGTCCCGTTTTTATTTTTTGTGAGAAGCCGGGGGTCGGCCCCCAGGGCCTGGCGACCTGAGGATGGGGTGGGAGGAGAGGGGATGGGAGGAGGAAGTGTGGGGTGGGGGAACGGAGTGGGGAAAAGTGGAGGAGAGGGAGGGGGTGTGGGGGGGAAACTCCGCACGAGGGTCTCCTTCCGACCCCAGGGCACTTACCTGGCCGGGGGCGGGAGGCTCAGGCGCGCCCGCGAGGGGAGCCCGCCCGGGCCGGGAGCGGTGGCGGCGCGGCTGCCGGGGCTCGCATCTCGGGGACCAGGCGGCGGCCGCTGCCGCGGAAGGACGGCCCCACCCCGGCACGCGAGCCCGCCCCGCCCCGGAGGCGACGGCGCGCGGGAGGCGGCAGGGGGCGCGCGCGCGCATCCCCGCCCCAGCCTGTGGTCCTCCCGCGTCCCTGTGCGCTCTGGTGGGGTCGCGCCCTGTGCCCCGCGCGTCCGCGTGGTCTCCGAGTGTCTGTCCCCTCCGGGGTGCCCTGCGCTGTTCGAGGCCCCCAGCTCCCGTTGGGAGCCCCAGACCTCCTATTCTTCGCCCCCAGTCCCGCGCCCCCTCCCGCCTGCGCCCGCGGAGGCCGAGCGCGCACCTGCCCGCGGCGCAGAGGTGCGGGGCCCAGACTTCCTAGCCGCGGGGTTCCGGCGCTCCTGATCCTAACGGGTACCGGGAGCAGCGTGTCGCGCCCCGCCTACTCCAGTGGGGCTGTTACGAAAATCAAGAGGACTAAAGGGTTTTACAGACTATAAAATAGTAATAAAATCCTTTTGACCCTGAACTTCCCAGGAATGGCAGGGCTCTTCGTGCGACGTCTCATGCCAGACGTGTCAGGGCCCCACCGGCGGGAGCGCGCGGTGAGCACCCGGACCCCGCGAGGCGGCCAAGCGCACGGCCCACCCCTCTCCTGCCTGGGCTCCGGCGGGGGGGCCCTTCTGACCCTCGGCTGCCCCCTCCTCCTCCTCTGCTCCACCCGGACCGTCCCGGCCTCCACCCCTCCTCCGTCCCGGCGGACACGTCCTGGCTTGAACCCCTGGTATCTTCACGAGGCTCGGACAGCATGTCCAGCCGGAGCCCCCGGGACTCCCCGTGAAGCTTGCCTCAGATTCTCAGGTCTCCACCCCGTGTCTGAGGGACCCCGGAGACCCCAGCCCGCTCCGGCCGCCGTCTTCAGCTGGTCCCCCATGTCCAGTCCCCGGCCGGCACCTCAACACCCGCCGCCGTCCTCACACGAACCCGCCGGCCGCGCGCCCCGCAGCCAGGTCCGCGGGGCTCGGGCGTCAGCTCCCGCCCCAACAGTCGCAGCCAAGGGGGTCACTCTGGCCCCCGACCAAGCTCTGCGCAAAATCCCGTCTCCCCCGAAGTCCCCAACCTCCTTCCCGGCCTCACCGACGCTCCGAGCCAGCGCGCGCCTCAGGACCTGGGAAACGCTCTTCCGCAGATGCTCGCGCGCAGCCCGGTTCCCGCGTCTCAGAGACCGGCCTCCCCGAATGCAAGGCCCGCGCTGTCCGTCTCCTCGCGCTGCTGTTTGAATAGTGCACGTTCCCCCTGAAATTACAGCAGCTACTTCTTTGCTCCCGTGTTCTACAGGTAAACTCACCAGGCCTGTTCGGTCGCCTCTAGCCAAGGAAGCACAGGAGCCTGGGGCAGAGCAGGGCTCAAAAACGTGAGCTGAGTACACGGTTTTTATTACTTTTTGACATGGAACAAGGTGCGGCTATATTTCCGTATTACTTAAGGAGTTAAAATCAGTAGTTGCATCTTGATCCAATTTTTGTAAAGTGTATTATGCACAGAAAAAGTTTGGGTGAATAACTGAGGTTACAGGTGAACTTTAATTTCTTCTTTTTACTTTTTAACATTTGTGCAAGCATGTAGTGCTTTTGTACCTTTTTTTGTTAAAGAAAATAAGTATGTGTGCGATGTTGGGGGGCACCGCTTGGAGTGGCAGATGTGAGGTGGGTCTGGCTTTCCAAGTCCAGGCCTGTGGGGGGACATCTGGCTGGGTGCCCCGGATTTGGAGCTTTGTAATGAGACCTGGCACTTCCCCTGCATTGGAAGACGGCATCCCCATACCTCAGGGAACCCCCTTCTAGCCTCGCTGTCCAGGCACCAGTCATGTCCACCCACCCAGTCCCACCAGGGGACTCTGGAGCGAGACGCTTCATTGCTGCCACCTCCTGGGGCGGGATGAGGGCAGGTGGGCTGTGCAGCCCCAGGTGCAGGAGAAAACCAGTGTCCCCTCCCCTCAGACTGCCTTCTATGGGCCAGGCCCCCCACCTCGGCTGTCCCCTGTGCTTGTCCCCAAAGCCTGCCATCTCTGCAGAGCCTTGGGCAGTCAGTGGAACTGAACAGAAATAAGACGACCCTTCCCAGGAGGGCACCACCCGTGGAGTCCCAGGCATCAGGCGAGCCCCCTCTGTGGGAGCCTCTGGGCACCCCCAACCGCAGTGTTTCCTTTCTGTCCTGCAGTGCAGGGGGCCCTGACCCAGGAGGCCTTCTCCTCAGAACCTTCTAGTAGACGCCTCCATTCTCTGCCCTCTAGTCAGGACCCCCGGCTGCAAACAGGCTCCCTGTGGCTGAGTCCTCCCATTCCCACCTGAACTTCCGATCAGCTGGGGACAAATTCCTCTTTCCTGGGTCATTTGTCCTCCCAGGGTGGGAGGGTGGCTGGCACCCAGCAGGGATGAGAGCTAGGGAGAGAGAGCCCCTGAGGTGCCACCTGGCCCTCGAGCCCACATCTGTGTCCCCAGGTGTGTCCCAAATGTGGACGCCCTGCCAGCTCAGTGATGTGACAGCTATGGGAGCCATGGTGCCTCTACTCAAAGGACGGCTCTGCAGGAAGGGCTCAAGGCCAGTGTCAGCACCACACCCCTCCCAAAGAGCCCCCAAGAACTGGAAGGGAGAGCCCTTCTTGCAGGCTGCTCCTGTCCCCCCTCCTGCCCCACTAGCTGTTCAGCGTCCTCCTCCACACCCTCCCTCCCCCAGACACAGGCTGGCCGGGGAGCAGCCAGAGCGATCCTCAGAGGCAGATGGGGGTGTGCTGCCCCCCTGGGGCCAGGCAGTGTCCAGCGCAGGGGCCACGCCACTGGGTCCCGGTGGGGGACAGCCGTGATGCTCCGAGTCAGCGTCTCGTCTGTGTTTCTCCTTGGCAGCCCTTGTCCACGTCTGTTCTCTCTCCCACCTCACTTTTCCTGGAGGCTAGAGAGGGATCAGGAGCATTTTGCAGAAAGCCCGTGGGTGGCTCCCTGCGTTGTCACCGAGCCATCCCTCGAGTCCCCGCCCATCCAGCCTCCACTGCGTCGAGGCTTCTTGCACCTCGTGCAGGGTGTGGACCGTCAGGCAGGTCTTCTGCTCCCCGGACACACTTCCATTGGTCACTGGCATTCTGTCAGCTCAGCTTGGGGCACCTGGCAGCACCTGGCCTGCTGGAGGGAGGTGCAGGCCTGGGGCCCCGGGGGATGCACAAGTGTCCATGAGGGGCCCAGGGTCCCCGCCTACAGATGGAGGGCTCAGCAGCTGGGGCTCCAGGGGCCTCCCCAGACTCTTAGCCCCAGGAGAGGCCCCAGGAAGAGGCAGGGGCCACCCAGTAGACAGATGTCCATCCTGGGAGGCCCCGGTGAGGCCAGGGTCCAGGACTGCATGAAAGCCACAAGGTGTCTGGGAAGGGGGCAAAGCAGAACGTGAACCAGGGCCTTCGCTGGCCCAGGGACATTTGAATCAATAAAATGTGATTCAGGGACCGTTCCTGAAAAGACGTTGTGGCCTCAACTGGCAAATGGGTGTAGAGGACGAGGCGGTGAAATAGCCTCAGGGAGTGGTGGCCCCCAGGCCCATGCAGACCCCAACCTCTACCTGCCAGTGCATCTCGGAGGCGAGTGGTGGGAGCCAGCAGCTGGCCGCCTTCGGGGAGGGATAGCGCCCTCCTTCCAGGGACGTGGCTGGCCCTGGGGCTGTGCGCTTCCTTGGGGGTGCCTGTGGGGTCAGCACTCGCAGGGAGCCCACCTAGTGAAGAGGGCTCTGCCATTGCCCCATCTGCCCTGGCCTCAGTGTGATCCTGGAACAGCAGCGCCCCCCAGGGTTCTCAGATGCTGTTCCCTCTGTCTGGCATGCTCTTCCCCACATATCCTTGCTTGTCCTTGGTTCCTTCAGCTTAAACATCCCCTTCTAGCAAAGGCCATGCTACGCCCCTCACCACCTGACACTTGGGTTTATTGAGGGGGCAGTGCAGGAACTTGCATCCACTTTGTACCATTACAACCCCATAGGTGAAAACTGCCCATTGTGGGGCAGAAAGGAGAGGATGGAGGGAGCAGGGAGGAGGGGCAATTTACTACAGTTATTTCCTGTTTTATTTACCATAATTTATTTCCTTTCTGTACACCCCCAGGCCCAACTGAACAATGACTCATTGCCTTGGTTTTCTTTGAACCTTCTGTTGTCCTCCACACCCTTTGGCAGCTTTGCAGCAGAAGCCTTCCGCAGGGCTCCCCCAACGTCCCACAGGGCCAGCTCCCTCCAGGCACTGCCCACTCGCCCGTTTCCTTGGCCTGTCACATTGCTTCCTTGTTTCCTGAATCCCAGGCCTTCCTCTGGGCTTCCTCACTCAGTTTTGCTGGAGCACATCCTCCAGGAGCTTCCCAGTTAAAGGAATGTCAGAGGAAAATTTCTTGAAAACTTTGCCTACTGGTACAGCTGAGGGCTGGCTTGACCAAGGACAGAATTCAAGGTGGAAACAACTTTCTCTCCACACATCTGAGGTCTCGTCCCGCCTCCTGCTCCCTAGTCTCCCGTGGGCCTGGCTCCTCTCAGGAGGGTTAGCGTCTCCTCCTTGTCCCCCGGCCCCAGGGCCCTCAGTGCAGCCTTGTCCATCCACAGAGCCGGGCACTGGTGCACCCTTCCAAAAGGAATGGGTTCCTCTTTAATGGATGCAGTATCTTTGGCCCTCTCTGAGATCCTGGCTGTAGACTGTAGGGGTTCTAAGATGCTCCTTCCTAGCCTCTTCCACAAACGTCAGGTCGATGGCTGCGCCCCCTCCAGGACTGAGGCGCTGCCCTGGGCGGGCAGCTGAGTGCTAGGCTTGTCGAGTGGTGGGTATCCGCAGGCACATTCTTGGTGGTCTCTCTGATCTCCTGGCTGGGGGTGGAGGGCTCGCCCTGCAGGAAGCCCTCAGGCCCTCCCCTCCCCGCTTCGTTGCTACGTGGCCTGAGCTACGAAGGCCTGAGCCTTCTTGGGAAGCGGCGGCTTCTCCCTGGAACTTGTCCTCCCGGGGCTTGGGGGCAGGTGCCTCCTGTGTCACCAGAGGCTGAAAGCT